CATTCTAATCTTCAGATGAGACAGCAAATTTCATATTTTGGCATAGAAGAAACAGATGAGCCCCAACCTTGAAAGCTGAAGCTTTGTCATGTTTAATGTTATATTGGACACTCATCAAATATGACACTTCAAATTGTATTCAGAGGTGCTAAAGAAATGATTTCGATAAAAAGTATATGCATGAATGAGTAAATATTGATAAAACCATTAACCACTCAATTTTTGATAGACTATTCAACCAATAACCCATCAGTTAGGTAGCTAACTTGTATATAAAGTGAATACTAAACTGCACCATAAAGTTGTACCTAGTTGACACGGCTTTACATGATTTAGGATCTATGCAAGATAAAAATCCTCACTTTTCCACTGAGTGAGCAGAAGGTTGAAGTAAATGACCTCAAAATGCACTTAAAAAGCAGTCCCCCTCCAACTGCAAGCATCTCATCCAGTTTTAAGACGCAGTAGCAATAGGAATACCAAGAGTAGAAACTGCCAGTGGTTTTAATTTAAGCACCTCAGCTGCCGGTTCAGTTAAAAGTTTAGTCTACTGTTATTGCCTGAGATCTCTATAGGTAACAGGATTGAGCCCCTTCAAAACTAAAAATATGTGGGCACTTCAAAAGCATGTAAGCAAAATTACAAAAGCATAAATAAAAATCTTCCCAAAACTAAAACTCGATGGAAAACAATAGTTCCTCTCAAAAAGAAAAAAAACCAAACAACCACATTGCTCAATCCGCCACATACCAATTTTCTATTACTGAGAGAAGTTTTCAAACAAAATGGGAACGGAAAACATTATGAAGTTATGATGAATTCACACGGAAAAAATTCCTTTCATATTTTCATTGCCAGTAAAGCATAAACAAATCATCCATCCTTAATCCAGTTTTGCAACTTTTGTAACGTCCATATCTAGCATCCCCCTCCAGTTGTGCAAGTTGGTAACCTCACCATCTAACATCCTCATTACGAAATTACAGAAGACAGAATAATGTGGCTCAATACTTCGTTTCTAGTTTATACAACAGCAGATCCATACAAGACAGAGAATCCAATCTTAGCAATTCAGTTTTCCACATTAAATAGAGTTCTAAATTAACATAGATTAATTCATCTCAATAATTTCTTTCTCACTCAGCAGACACTGGGTCTTAGAAGAGAAAGAAAATGCAGCATAACAACGAAAATAATAAGCTTGTCCAATGCAGCATTTACACTACAGATTTTTTACCCGCAAGTGTAACCCAGAATAAGATTAAATGCCTATTATAACAAACATAGCACTAAAGTAAATATGCAAAAATTAGGTGAATGGTATGATGACAAACTAGCCCATTCCCAGATAAACTTTAGATTCAACTGGGGTGCAAAGCTTTTCGTACAACATAAATAAATCAAATTCATAAGGAACAAATAGAAGTCAGCATCTGTACTTAGAACTTCTTTCATCTGGATTCCCACTAGCCATCAAGATAACACATTCTATTCTGGATCACATTCTGCTGTAAGTTAGAATTACCACCAGAAGACAGGAGGAAGATATGAAACATTTACCAATAACAGAATCAAGATAAGCACAAAGATGTGATCGAGGGCTGAGGGCAGTTTTTTCTCCTTGGATTTCCTCAGTCGTCCAACTCAAATGGCATGGTATTGTGCTAATGAGTGTGGACATGTGGGGTTCGTCAATCTATGTCTAGATTCAAAAGACCAACCCAGAGCCTATAAAGGCATTCAATAGTCAAAAGTCTCAAGCCAACACAGAATCCACTTTACCTTTGGAAAGTTGATTACTCTTAGCATGTGAGACCACAAATTTTAGTCAAACTTCAATGGCAAATAAATAAATGAATCTGCCCGTTAAAGCTTCAAATCAAACAGTGAGACAAATAAGCAAATAAACACAACAGATTCATTTGCACAAAGCATCAAACTGTACTTGGTTTTTGGGGTCCAATCACTAGCATATTTCAAGTAAAAATCTCGTGGTGCAATATTTCTCTCCCTTTGTTTAGAAATATAAATAATAATGACGTGTAAGGGGATTAAAGCAGACAGCTCACCCACTGGGATCGGTAACATCCCTCGAAATCTTCATCTTCTTCGTCGTTCCTTTATACAGATCCTCCAGACTGCATGGCAGGTTTCGTTCGATGGGTGCACCTTTCCTTGGCATATTTCCAGAGCCCTCTCCAGCACCACTCCTAAATGAAGTGAATATATCATCGCCGAACATACCACGAGGAAACCCAGAAGCACCAGCTCGACCACCCATATCACCCATTCCACCAAAGGGACTGGAAAACCCAAAGAACTCTGAAAATATATCGTCTGCGCTCCTGGGGTTGAACCGAAACATAGTTGGACCGCCATCAGGACCACCTGAAAATCCGGAACCCGGGGGTGGCACCTGTCCCTTCAATCCCTCCTCACCGTATTGGTCATATACTGCTCGCTTTTGTGGATCACTCAGAACCTGTTTAAAATTCAAAACCCAAGAATTCATACAGACCATACGGTTTCAATTTCCTGAGCAAAGTAGGAACTTCGAGGGATCAAATTTGAGATACTTGAATAGATTTCGAAATTTCCTAATTTAAACAAAATTCCCAATACATTGAGATTGAATTGAGAAAGAGAAGAATGGAATGATAGAAACATACATCGTAAGCCTCGGAGATTTGCTTGAATTTAGCTTCAGCCTCTTTCTTGCTGTTAGGGTTCTTATCAGGGTGCCACTTCATGGCAAGCTTCCGATAGGCTTTCTTGAGATCATCATCTTTGGCATTTCGGTCTACCTGAAGAATCTTGTAGTAGTCGACGCCCATTGCCTCCTCTTTTACTCACTCTCCGTATCTCTGCGTGGCGTGGCCGGAGTGTGCTCCTACTCACCGGTCCGAGGGATAGAAGGCGAAGGACCTCATCGACAGGAAGGTATCAAAATCTGGGCTCTACTGATACATAATAAAGCTATCTCATTGCTCGGCCCAACTTCAAAAATTAAAATTAAAATATCAAACAACATTGAATGTGCTTTTATCATGATTGTTTGATTGTTGACTTCTTGTTATTTATGCTTTTATTATTAAATTAGTTTTTTTTTGGGCCAAATATTATTAAATTAGTTCAAAGAGGATAATAAGTAGTAACAACGTTTTTCTGGCCAACAATCTTTTTAGTTTTTAATAATTTCAGTTTTGAAAATGGATTATTGAAGAGGGAACACCATTACCTGATGATGAAATTTTTTATTCCCTTCAGTTATAAACATAGCATTGTCTTAATTAATTTATAAAATCTAAAAATGTAGCTAAGTTTATTATTTATACTCAATATATAGAGAATATGTACTTTTTCAAAATACTCAAGGAAAAAAAATTAGCATAGGAAATAAGAGAGTATAAGACATTATATTTAGAATTAAGCAAAAATGATCAAATAAATCTTATATTTATAATCAAACCGGGTATGTCTTCAATAAAACAGAGTCATCTGGCGGGAAAAAAATTGAGTCAAAGCAAAAGGCCAAAAATTTTTAAATGTTAGCATGAGAAGATGGAGCAAGAATAAATTGGTGATTTACTTACAACGATAATTATTAATACGAAGTAAATTAACAATAGGAATTATAAATACTTTAACTACACCATAACAAGAGAAATGGTGAATTCAGCCCCAAAAAACGAAAAAACAAGAGAATAGGTGAAAGTTCTCAATAATTTACGAAAATCATAAATTGAAATTAATTGTAAATCAAGTTTTTTGTGGTTTTTGGTGGCAGTTTTTTTTTTCCGCTTTGATATTTATATGCTCTTCCCATTTTTTAAGATATAAAGGCAATTTTGACTTGTTCTTCCTTATTCATAATATTTGATAAATCTTACGGTCACTAGTCTCAACACATTTGGTGTTGGATTCTTTTGTTCTTTTTTGCTTTTAGACTCTATTTATGTTTTCTTCTGCTGGTTTTAGCCGAGGCTTTGCATTCAGAACAAATAAATACAAATAAATAAAATACAGAGAGCCGTATTTATGGGAGAATGACGAGTCTAAAAGCTTGAACCAGTGACAGTTAGATCTTGGAAAATATTTTCTTAAAAAACAAGTTGCAAATGATTCTAACAATTGCAAAAGAATTACTACCTCTGGTTCTTAATATAAGACCTTGTTTGACTTTTATTTTGATCCTAAATATAGACCCAATCTACTTGTCTCTCATATTATATATTTTTTTCCAAAGTAGCACTTCTAACAATGATAGTTCTAGTCAATACACTTGATTGGTAAGGATATTTTAGGAAAGACAACACCTATTTAGGACAAAAAACTAACTCAACTTACTTCCTTAATCTCCTCAAATTAGTCAACTGGCTCTTATAATTAGGACCGGAGGTAGTACATTTGAAACTTCCATGTCTTGTTCACATTGAGACTTCTAAATTTGCAATTTGATGGAGGCTTAACCGTCATTAATTCACTACATAATTGTCATTCTCCCCTTATTTTTCAAGGGCCAGACTGTATCTTTACTCCCAAAAAGAAGACTTGTACAATCAACATGTCATTCCTTCACATTTCCTCAACAAATGGTCATTTCCATTAACTACAATGAGCTGACAAGGAGGACAAAAACAGATGATGATATATATAGCCACACATTAATTGATCTGTGTGGTTCAGCTCTGCACAATTAGTTAGCCTCACGCTGATAATGCTCAGACAGTAAAAATCTTCCTCACTTTCTTGGTCTTCCTACGACAAACAGGGCAAGTCCCATCTGCTTCTGCTATCCTGTAAACATAGATCGGTCATTTCATTTACGACCCACAAGATTCTCCACCAGCTAACTATGAGTACTTTAGTTTCCCATTTATTTGAAATTATATATGTTCACAGACACACGCACAGACACCAAGATGTATTGGGGCAGGCCGAAGAGTGACTCTTTTTTTCTTTTTCCATCAGAAGGGTTTGGACTATATTTCACATTGTGTTTTGGTCTCATCATTTGAACTACCCCCAAATGACTTATAATTAAAACTAATTTCAAGCAAGACAATGAGAGGAGAAAATCATCATCATTCTTAGGTCACAAATCAAAAGTTTGGATTAATGCAGAAGTCATCTGAAATGTGTAGTAAACCGCTTATTTTAATTTTTGTACTAATATCAACTATTGATTTGCGACTAAGATGATTATTTCTTCATCTCAACTCACTTAAAATCACTCTTCACACTGGAGTGATACATAGAAAAATCAATCTATCTAATGTTATCTGGAACATATGTTGAAAGTGCATGAATAGAAGATAGTCTACTCAACAGGATTGTTAATACATAGATTGTTGATGTGTTTGTTGTCGTGTTAAAAACTTGTTTCCTGCAACTTCTGCGGAACGTACATATGTGCCTCATCAAACATGAAAAGAAGCACACTATATTGAAGAGCAAAAGTTTATGAAAATTTCTATGCATGTTAAAAGCCATTTTTTTAAGGAAAAGGCAACCCCATTTATGAGAACTTATGCTTATCGTTAGCTCAGGTGGTTGTTGAATGGTGGGGATTAAAGGAAGGACATCCCAATAAATCGGGGGAGAACAGCCCTTCACTGGCCCCCCCCCCCCCCCCCAAAAAAAAAAAATCTTTTACTACTTTTACCAAACTTGCTTTAGAGACGACTTGACAGTTTTAGCCGGGAAGGCTTTCCCTATGCAGCCTAGATATCACAATATGCAATCTCGCAAGAACGGTAATTTCATCTCTGTTCCCTTTCTTCACGTAAGTTACGTTACTAAGAAAATGTGGAATTTATGTGATGTAACTCAAATGAGTAAGTGGAAATTACTTACCTGTTTCCACATTCAAAACAAGCAACACAGTGTCCACATGGAAGGAAGAAGCAGTTCCTTGGGGCATCAAAGCAAATAGCACAAAGACGCCGGGTATTATTACTGGTTTCACCTTCACCTAAAGACTTTCCATCAACGGAACCTACTGTAAGAAAATCAAGATCCTCCTCATCACGTGACATGGATTCATAAGATGAACCCCAACTTGAAAGATCGTCATCTTTTTGAGAAAGCAAAGGTGCTCTCTGAGTTGCTGTTTCCCCAGCTTGAACTCTTGCCCTGTTTACAAGGGCTTGCTGGAAATTCTCTATTAAGGTGAAGCTCAAATACATCAACAAAGTCATTCCGCCTGTGGTGGAAAAAAAAAAAAAAAAGAATTAGTAACGCATAAATTTGGTCAGGTCTTCAAGTAGTGAATAGGGGACTGAATATGTGAATGAAACGCATACCAATGCCAATAATGTAAGAGGTCCATCTTGGTCCAAAGGACAATCTGACACGCCACTCATCCCTTGAAGTGTTCTAAACCAAAGAAAAGAAATCATAAAACAGTCTGATGCAGAGTGAGAAGACAAAGCTGTAACCTGTAAGTTTTTAATTATGTTAAAATGTAATTCGTTGGAATAATTTAGGGTCTACCTCAAGTAGTTAGGTATATCAATGGGATACTTGGGCCAAGGTATATCTTATCCCACGGTAGAAGGATTAGATTTCCAGAATTTCTATGTGACGTTCACAAAGATTTCGTGTTTGAATTATCTGTTTATCTATAATCAATCCGAAGAAGTCACCTCTTTCTCATGATATATTAAAGAAATTGAAACCTATAGTCAACTGACCTGATAACTTGAACTAGTTAGCCCTTTGCAATATTATGAAGAAATAAACTCCCAAACCATGAGTACAAGCTTCCCAAACATACTTAATACTCCTCCGGTCCTTAATATAGGACCCAATTCTTGAGTTGGTTTTGATCCTAAATATAAGACCCATTTCTCATATTTATCAATTTTCTCTAAATTACCCCTATAGATACTCTCTCAACCATAATTAAGTAGAAGAGGGAGAGGGGGTATTAAGAAAGATGATTATGGTGTTTTAGGAAAAATGTGTCACTTTTCTTATAATTAACCAACTTACCTAACTTCTTTAATCTAATCAAATTTGTTAAATGGGTCTTATATTAAGGACCGGAGGAGTATATGAGAATGGCTGCATTTATTCTATTTGCAGTGACTATATGTTAAAAGTAATCGTACCTGTTGTGAATCAGAAGTTAAAATAGCCGCATTCCCCTCAGGAAAGTAGATATTAACATGACAAGAATTATTTGTCAAAGCACATTTATAGTAAGCTTTGGTTGTATTGTACAAGGAGGATCTTATTCTGATGCTCAATTTGACCTATCAATGATAAGAATGATTCAAGTAAATAGTGATGAACCGGAATGAGGACAGAAGTACCGATACAAGTCGGTCAAAATTGCAATCAATAACCTTATCCAACTATTTTAAGGAGAGAAGCTCCTAGGCATTCTTAGTGAGTCATATCGTTTATACCCTCTTCAATTTTCTTCTTCTTCTTTTTTTGGGGGGGGGGGGGGATATATATATATATAGGTCTCACATTCTCTTACCTCTACTCCGTTATCACGTAAATGTTATGTGGATCAACATTCTATTAGTCATCGTTGCGCTATTACATAAATGAAATGTTGAGAATTTTTACATGATTTGGCTCTATTAGACCAGTTGATCTATCCATGAATGCCATGGTAAAATGAGCGTACGTAAGTTTGTCTAATGTGAAAGGAAAATGTCATCTAGAGGGGGGGGGGGGGAAGAAGCACTTTTATAGACTCATTATCAACGAAGCTAATCCTCTCAATCATTCCTCAGATTCTATCAAGTCAAGCAACCTGAAGAGAAAACCAGAGCTTTGCAGAAATACCTCCACTTCCTCATCCAAATTTCTTGCTATCACGTGATAGCTTGATGAAAAGAATATGTCTTGTGTAATCATGCCCGTTCCTGTAATGAAACAGTA